GTGTCTGTATGTTGTTTTTTATATTTTTTATTTTACTTGTTTTATTACATTTTTAGACCAGACTGACTGGCACCTTTGTGTTTATTTATTTATTTATTTAGTTAGTTAGTTAGTTAATTAGTTATTTTGCAGTTTGGGTGTGCCCTTGTTTTCTGTACCTAACGTGTGTGTGTGTGTGTATGTGTGTGTGTGTGTGTTGTCTTTTAGGTGGTAAAACAGGTGAAACTCTTTGAATGGCCCGTTGGAGCCAGCAGTCTGGACCAGTGAGGGCCAGCACCAACAGATGACAACATCCTGCATGCTGCTGCACAGAGATTGAGGTTTGAAAGTTGTTGGAGATTTGTGAATCTGCACCATCGTAAGCCACTTTTTGTAATAGTATAAACAAGAGTTTTATATTGTGTGCTTTGACTTTGAAAAAAGGGCGGTACAGTTGTTGTAGCCATGTTGACCCTGATTGATAGTTTTTTTTGTTTTGTTTTTCCTCTCCTGTATGGAGAGAAGAGAGGAGAGTTCTTTGAATAAATGGAGACGAGTTCCCCTGCTCCAATGTTATTTGACTCTGTGGTTCTCAGTGTGCAGGTTTCCAGCCCTCATAGCTCACACGTTACAGGGAGTACTAATTGAAGGCTGTAAAAAAAATTGATCCTTTTTGTTCGAGCATCACTTTTCTGTTTCTCTGTCAGGAGTTAAATAAGGATTTTATCTTTTCTTTTTTTTTTGTAGGTAAATATATGGTTAAGTAGATCGTTTTGTTTGACAATACTTTAAATTAAATAAAACTAGCCATTATGTTCTGTTTTATTTACTTTAAAGAAGTGAGGAGTAGGGAGACGAAAAAATTATGTCATTTTGATACTGAGACTGGACGAGTAGCTCTCCGCAAACTGCTAACTTCAAAAGTAGCTCTTGGTTCAAAAAAGGTTGGGCACCCATGGCTTACACACTAAACATAAAAAAAGTCCGCAGTTAGCAGAACTTTACACACAAAAAACAAAACACCAGCCCAGACCGTCACAACTATAAAACTAAACACATTTATTTACCTTAAATGCAGAAAGATACAGTATCATAATCTCACTTTTCATTATTTTAAAGGTCTGTCTTTTCACATTGCTTAAACACTGGCACCAACTGTGCAAATTTGAATGAACATAAGGTCAAGCACACCACTTAATAACAGCATACTTTGAATGCTTCAAAAATAATTAAAACATAAACAATATATGTTTGATTTGGTGTCTGAACGCAGCATTTTATAAATTATTGAATATATTTTTCACTATTGTGTTTCATGTTGCAAAACATTTGGAGTGTTTTGCTCAATGGGTGTGTGATTGTACAATATGTGTTTCCATAAAAGACCTAAGATTTTAGGATTTCAAAAAAAGAAAAAAAAGATGCATTTTGCAACTGTCTGTAGAAACAGAGAATCTATTCCATCATGATATCGATACGTTACTTATCTTGGTATCGATACATCTACCCTACTCTCACTCTGTCTGTCTGTCTGTCTGCATACCCACGCAGTGGTCCCAACTGGATCGACTTGTAACTGGATTGTATTTGAGTGAAATCAATTTGATGGAATCCACTGAAGTGAGCTGGAGTCTTTGTAACTGGATTTGAATAGAGCTGTTTGCTTTCTGCACAACCTGGAATGAGTTCTGTTGTATACTGGCCCTAAACAAATAAACTAAATTAATTTAAATGTTATGGCAACAGGTCATGTTTCACCCTCTCGGCACAAATGTGACCATTTTTCTTCAGGTGCGTGCTCAATAAAACTAAAACAGCTAAGTGAAAATTCAATCCCCAGAAGGTTTGACTGGACTCCACACACAGATCTCCCACTGTGAACTCAAAAGGGATGAAATACTAACGTAACCACAGCCAGAGGAGGAATATTTAGTAGGTCAAAGTCACACTTTTGGACTTAATCCTTGTTTCGATGTGATGGGTCACATTTTACACGCTCAGACATTTGTAGAGCAATTTTAACGCTGTGAACAGTTTGTAAAAAAAATAATGAAATTGAGCAAAAATTAGCAATGATGCAAGGTTATTAAAGAATATATTCTTTGACATTCAAAATGCCTCCATCTTCAACGACTCTTACCAGCCACTTGTGCAGCGTGCACACACATATTATACACACAAGATGCCTCTTGTGCAATAGCTGAAGTCGTCGGGCCTGCGGCCGTGCAGGAAACCCAACAGGAGGGAGCAGAGAGGAAACCCAGGGCTGTGCTGCAGGGGTCTACTTCCATTTAAAACAATCATGAATTTTAACAGAAACTCGCGGAGAGAAGCTGTTTTACCAGCCGTCATCATCATCATCCTGCTCTCTCTGTCTACCTCACACACTCACACTCGGTCTTTGCATCTGTCGTTCCCTGACTCCTCAGCGGAATTATTAAAACATGACATGAAACTGTTAAAAAGCAGTCCCCCGGTGGCGACAGGGGGCTGAATGTGGTGTGTGATAGGGGAAGTGACAGCTGAGGAAACAAGAAACAGAGAAGGGACTGAGAGAAAGATGGGTGGAAATCAGTGTGCGAAAAGGGAATTATGTTAGTCGGGCTGTGTTGTCTTCTTGTGTTGCTGCAACACTTAACAGAAGTGGTGAGTTGGGACAACACTCTATGAACGAAGCCACTGGGAATCAGAGACAACAGAAGGAAGATTAAAGGCCTAACATTCCTGGAAGGAGAAGAAATGTTGAGAAATGATGGAGTTGTAGATGTTCTGGTTAAACCTTAAAAATAGCATTCAGTGCAATCTGATGGGATATTAGAGTATCTCACTTGATTTGTCTGGATTATATGTTGTGAAAGACTCTCAGCTATCACCAAAATATAATTTGGTTTAATATCTGTAAAAATCATTGAGGTACAACCATTTATAGCTAGGATTGATTGGCTGTGGCAACCAAGCTGAACTGGGTTGACTCCAAAAGTTAAGATGTACATTCAATGATTACTTACACACAATTATTGTTAAAATCATTCAAGTGGTTTATGAGGTATTTTGCTAACAGACAAATGATGTTGACTCCAGCAGGTTTTTAACAATGATGTCACTAAATGTGTTGTGAGAAGTACCTTGTTAAAACATCCCTGATTTTAACCAGAGAATCATGAAGAAATTTGCTTCTCAGTTACAGAAGGGCAAAATTTATGTACAAAAAATAAAACACTATAACATTGTTATGCTGGCGTGAAACAACTTATTACACGTTTGATTGTTTTTTGAGATATGTCTATTTTAGAGTTCTAGCCCCCCTGGAGAAAAATCCACCAGCCGCCACTGTCTGTGAATGTTTTTAATGAAGGGTTGATAATATAACATGATATAAAGCACAGAAAAGTTTATTTTATATTTATTGCCCCATTAAACCAAATCACAACTGGGCCACTTGTGGAATGTCATCTAAAGAACAGTGCAATCTTTTCCAGACCTGGCCCTCCCCTGTCTGCTTTGTGGGGACGAACACACAGAAGGCAGAATGAGGACAGTGAAGAACAAAACAAAGAGCTAGGTGGTGCACTTACTGGACGGTGGTGGAAATCTGCAGTCGCCTGACACCTGGCGTGGGAAACTGGCGAGAGTTTATGTAAGAAACTTTCCTCACAGCAGTGTTCATGTTTTCCAAGTCCTCTCCCTCCATGACAAGGATAGACTGAGCTGGGTTAAAGTGGAACTAGAAAAGGAGAAGCAAGCAACAAAAAACACTAATATTAGATGAATAAATAACAAAATTGTAATGTTGTGACCAGAATTGATCTGTTTTGAAACCTATTTTTGCATACAAGAGCAAAAAGCACTGAGGCCATGGACAGATCAACCTGCCTGAGGGGAAAGAATGAGTTGATGAGTGAACAGTTGCATTTTTTAATGCCTGCATTCTCACTGGACTATTATTTTTTATGTTCCAGAGTGATCTGATTAAAAATAAATTCAAGTCATGACCTCAAGATAAATCAATAAAACACTATCTGTGGAAAAAAAACTGCATTGACATTATTTTCCACCACTTGGGGGCAGTGCAACAAATTGTGGATGGCACTGGCCCACGTCACCGCCGGTTAAAATGTGAACATGTTCACTGTGATTTACACATCCAGTAAATACGACACAGCACCATTAATCATTTGGAGTGGTTTGTGTGGCCACCACGTACAGGAATGTTCAATAATCACTCTCTTCTTAACTCGGCTTTGGTCTGCAGCATCTCCTAAGGGAAATTTGTAGCTATTTAGCCGCTAAGTGCCTCACTTTGTTCAACAAATAGCTTTGTCTGTCAGCCGTGTGGTTGTTGCACAGTTGTGTGAAGATGTTTTGCTTTCTTTCTGGAAGACAGATCTTTGAGTCTGCTAAAAACAAAGATTAATGAAAGTGACACACAACAGTTATGTCATTCAGCAAAGCATTTCAGGTTTGTGTGCATTTGCAGGGTAGTTAAATGAGCAGAATTTAGACAAAATCTGTTATTGGCCTCATTGCCATGAGTTTGAAAAATAGTTAATTTTTTCTCCTAGTGAACACTTTATCAATATAACATTGTTTTTAATAGTTTCTGGGTTCACTTAAAAGGCTAAATGGTAATTCTACACCCTAGCTTAATCTTCTGTTGCTTCTTCATTAGGCCACTTACGCCGTGTCCAAAACGACAGGCCGGGTCCTCCGGAGGACCCAGATTACCCGGTCGAGGCGGGCCGGGTCCTTGATAGACCGGGAAGACCGCAAAAAAAGAGGCTGTGAATTTGGACGGTCTAGTCTCCCCTCCTTACCCCGGCGTACGTCATGTCACCTAGCAACTGTGACGACGCTAAACAAGCAAACTTGAATCAAAATTAGAAATTATCAATACGTTAGCATTATTAATATCACAAAACTATAACATTAACTTAAAGGTATCATTTGAAGAACTAATTGACCCGCTGTAGGTGCATGTTTATTTCGCATTTTTTATGACAAAAATAATATTTAAAAACACATCTATTCAAATGATAAAAGTATTAGAATTGCAACTGCTAAAATTTTTAACAATTTTATATCACCATATTTTTATTTAAAACGTATTCTTTTCTCTCACGTCGTCTGCCATTACTAGCATAAAAAATCTCCAGTCGGGCCGCAATGCATTATGGGATACGCTGGGCCGGTAAGGATCCATCAGACCAGTCCTTCGATTCGGGCCAAAGGAAGGACGTATTTGTCGGCTGCATCGAAGGAGTCTTCGGATTTGGACGGCCTTCGTCGCGGTGCTGTGACGTATGCGGCCAACAAATGAGGCCTTCGGAGGACCCGGCCTGCCATTTTGGACACAGCCTTAGTTTTTATTTTTTGTTTATTCAAACAGAATTATACTTTAAGAGAAGTGAACCTTTTTTGAGAAGCTCTGTTTAACTCATGAGTTGTTGAAATATGAATTGGTCATTGCACTTGTGTCACTGTTTTTTCCCCTTTTTTCAAGTCATATAAATGTGCAGCATGAAAATGCAGGAAAGGACCCAGCAAAGCCACAGTATGAGCTGATTGCACACTGTAATCAGTTTTTTTGTTGTTGTTGTTTTTCCATCAATATTACTGTACAATTATCAGTTCTGTACTGAATAACACATGAGCACATGCAGAATATTACTGCTGATTTACAATGCATGATGGGAATTTCTACTGGCTACTGTAAAAAAATGCAGCAACGAACAAAAAACGTTGTCATCTTGTGTTTATGATTCTGTAGCTACCTTTTGACAATGTGAAACTTTTTTATTCACTGTAAGATATTCAATTTGAGTTCTTGTAATGCTACTGTACACAGTGTGCTGCGTAAGCTGGGAATAATGGTGTACCATTCATTATCTTAAACTGCTTCTTGCTTTAAGGGTCACTGGTGCCCATGTCCAGAAGTCACAGTGTGAGGGGCAGCTACACCCTGGACAGATCACAAGTCCATCACAGGACCACATAGAGACAAACAATCATTCACTCTGTCACAACAATTGAGCTTTTACCCTAACATTCATGTTTTTGGTCTGTGGGAGAAAACCCACACATGCATGGCCATAAATGTCATGGGCCAGGATTCGATCCTGCAACCTTCTTGCTGTGGTGGCAGCTGTCAGCTCCTCCACTCCTGGCTGCTCCTCAGTTAATTGATCGCAGCTGTACTTATTTATTCATCTTCATCTGCAATATTTTTCTTAATATTATTGACGGTTTAAATGAGAAAAACAACTTTTTGTGTTGGAATATTCTGTGTGATATTAAGGAGATTTGCTTAGCTTTTTTAATGTAGCACTGTTTTTAAAATCCACTTTGCCCATTGAACAGCTGATTGTCAAAGGGTGGCTGAATCTGTTTAACATTTCAAATTTATGTTGGATTACATTTCTTTTGGTAGACACATTTTCAGTCAGGTCCATAAATATTGGGGCATCAACACAATTCTAATCTTTCTGGCTGTAAACACCACCACAATGTATATGAAATGAAACTAACAAGATGTGATGTAACTTCAGACTTTCAACTTTCAACAGGTAATAATATACACATTTGTGAACAACGGTTTGTCTTTTTGCCTCCCACTTTTTAAGGAACCAAAAAAACTTGGGACAATTGGCCGCTCAGCTGGTCGATGGTCAGGTGTGTGTTATTCCCTCATTATCCCATTTACAAGGAGCAGATAAAAGGTCTAGAGTTCATTTCAGGGTGGAGTGTGCATTTGTTGCTGTTAACTCTCTTTAAAGCTGGAAACATACTCCGTGCGAACTGTCGACGTCGGCATGGGTGGTCGCAGTTTAATGATGAGAATTATGTCACCGGGCTTCACAGGGTTGTGTCGACAGCCCCTTTTGGCACAAGCCCCCGGCAGAACTTTTTGACCCCCCTCCCTTGTCGAATGTAATGTGTGATTGGTCTGAACTGAAAGCGCTCAGATGGACACAGCTGAAGAAAAAAACAAAAACTCGCTTCTGACGAGAGCAGACTGTTTTGAGCAGTTTTAAAGATAGACAAACCGAGAAAAACTTGTGTGTTTGTGCTGACAGCGCTATTCGCTGCATTTACTTCAACCACACGGTAAAAAAAAAAGGGAAAAAAAACCCCGACTTGCTCCCCAAGCCGACCAGGAATAAGAGTTTTATAAAGAGAGTAAAACCGTGAAAAACTCATGAATGGAGATAAACAGACATAACAGATAAACAGGCACGGAGGAATCTGAAACTGTGGAGCTTTTTAACCAGGACAGATGTGGATAAAAATCCGTCGGGTGAGTGACTTTTTTTCTGCATTGGTGTTGAGGGGAGAAATTCTGACTTTTTTTTTCTGCATTATCGGCTGTTGCGGGGGAACTCCATGCAGTGATGTATGTTTCAGGGAGGGGGCGTCGTAGGGACTATGAAAGGTCTGTGCGAAAATGACTGCCGAACAACCACGTGACCGCGCGTCGACCCATCGGCGTCGGAGCGAGTATGTTCCCACCTTAAGAGATCCAAAGAGCTGTTACTGTCAGGGAAGTTGACAGCATCATCATTAGGCTTAAAAATAAGAGAAAACCCATCAGAGACAGCTAAAATAGTCCAAAGGCCAAATCAACTCTTTGGAAGATTCTTAAAAATAAAGAACACCGGTGATATGAGCGACACCAAAATACACAGAAAACCACAGAAATCAACTGTGGTGGATGACAAAAAAAATTCTGTTTTGTTAACTTTTTTTTTCTCAAAAGTTTGAGCCACAAACTGCTCTCCAACTATCACAGTTCAGTGACAAATGACCTTAAGAAAGGCATGGCTATAGCCAAGTACTAGAACCTTTGGGGTGTTAAGTTGGATGGTAGATAGGTAAGTAGGTAAGTAAGTGAGTAACTAAGAAATAAAAAAGAAAGAATCATTGATGTTCACTCAAAGTTTCCACACAGCTAAATGTTGTTAAATGCTTTTAGTATGTGCATTTTTTTGGATTACTTGATTTACTGTATAATACAGTTTGAATCATACTCTAAGTCTGAGGTCATCGTTCTTGACTGGAAAAAGGTGGAACGCTCCCTTCCAGGTCAGAGGAAGAGTTTCTGCTTCAAGTGGAGGAGTTTAGGTGTCCGAGTGTCTTGTACACAAGTGATGGTTGGATGGAGCGGGAGGTGGATCAACGAATTGGGGTCTCATCCTCAGTAATGAGGGTGTTGCTTCAGTTGGTCATGATGAAGAAAGAGATGAGTCGAAAGGCAAAGTTTTCGATTTACTGGTCTGTCTATGTTCCAGCTCTCACTTCTTTTGATCATGACAGAAAGAACAATATCCCAGATACAAGCAGCTGAAATGAGCTTCCTTTGTGGGGTGGTCGGGCTCAGACTTGGAGATAGGGTGAGGACCTCGTTCATCTGGGGGGAGCTCAGAGTAGAGCCACTGCTCCTTCACATCGAAAGGAGTCAGTTGAGGTGGTTCATCTGATCAGGATGCTTCCTGATGTTCTGGCCATGTCCCAGTGGTAAGACGCTTCGGGTAACACCCAGAACTCTCTCTGGAGGGAAAATGTATCCTCTCTGGCCTGGGAATGCCTTGGGGGTCCCCCAGGACGAGCTGGAAAATGTTGCTGGGGAGAGGGCTTTCTGGGTTTCTTTCTTGGGCCTGTTGCCTCCACGACCTGACTATAGATAAGTAGCAAAAGATGGAAATGGAGTTTGAATCAGTTTTGATACTGT